GTTGAGAGGCATTAACCACAGAACAATGAAAGAAAACTGGTCCCTCGTGAAGGAAAGATCTGAAGACCCCCCAAGTGCAGAGCTCTGGTTAAGCCCAGGCCACTGCACTCCAGGCTGGATGACAGAGCGAGACTCTGTTTCAATAAAAAAAAGAGAGAATAGATGTAAAGACCAGAGCTCTATCCCTTGGCTTTCTATTGGTTATGTTGAGAACTTTCATTGTGACAGTGACATCCTGAGGTTGTGAGCTGTGCAGGAATTCCAGCAGGGATGGAACACATGCTACCCTGGAAGGGAAGAGACTTTGGATTCAGGTGGGAGGGGAGAGTGTTGGGAAAGAAGACAGAAGCTGAAGGAAGAAGCTCATGGTGTTGGGGCCAGCCCTTCCCGGTCCAGGTGGATCCCGTCTCACCATTAGCTCCTCAACCCTAGCAGCCTCTGCCCCATACTCTGAAGTATATCCCATTCCTCCCAGCCTCCAAAGAAGATTCTGAATCTCAGCCCTGGAAAAGCCTGAACCTCAGGCCCTGCTCCAGCACTTCTGCACAGAGTATAGGACAGAAGCAATCTAAGAGTGCTCTCAATTTCATTCCTTGCCCTCTTAACTCAAAGAAACAGGACTCAGAGGATTCTAGAACCAGTACCAGAATCTGGGTTCTGGAGACCATTGTTTCTAAAGCTCCTCCAAGGAAGAATTTTCCAAAAACATGCAGGGAGACTATTACTTTATATTTCATTTTATTTTATTACTGCATTTTATTTTGTTTTTACTTGAGACAGGGTCTCGCTCTGTCACCCAGGCTGGCGTTCAGTGGTGCAATCACAACTCACTGCAGCCTTGATCTCCTGGGCTCAAGGGATCCTCCAGCACTCAAGTCATCCCCTGCCTCATCCTCCGATGAGTAGCTGGGACCAAAGGCACGTGCCACCATGTCAAGCGAAATTAAAAGTTTTTTTGTCTTTTGATGTGGAGTATCACTCTGTCACCCAGGCCGGAGTGCAGTGGCATGATCTCGGCTGACTGCAAACTCTGCCTACTGGGTTCAAGCGATTCTCCTGCCTAAGGCTTCCTAGTAGATGGGATTACAGGCGCCCACCACTGCACACAGGTAATTTTTTTATTTTTAGTAGAGTTGGGGTTTCACCATGTGGCCAGGCTCGTCTCGAACTCCTGACCTCAAGTGATCCACCCACCCTGGCCTCCCAAAGTGGGATTACAGGCATGAGCCACTGTGCCCAGCCTAATATTTTAATTTTTTTTTGTAGACACAGGATCTCCCTATATTGCCCAGGCTGGTCTCAAACTACTGAGCTCAAGGGATCTTCCTGCCTCAGCCTCTAAAATGCTGGGATCACCTTAGAAGAGGGGCTGCAGTGTGGTGATGTCTCTCTGGGGATACCCCGGGATCACGGCTCCAGCCCCTTCACCCCCCACACTTCCGTAGGGTCAGCCCAGTTCCCATTTCTTAGTAGGCCAGAGTGGGAGGCTGGGGAAGGACAAGCCTCTGATCCTCCCTCCAGACCCTCCTCACCCAGAATTTACAGGCTGCAGAGGTGGGGTAGTGGAATTGGTTCTCTATGATCATCGGATGGGAGATGAGGGTGTCTGAGGAAGGCTGTGGTGACAATGACAGGATCTTAGTGGGGAGTGTGAGCAGGACCTGTAAGAACCCCGAGGTGAGGTTAGAATGTGGAGTCTCAGCTTGGAGAGGCCCTGGGGTGCTGACTCAGTGGGTCAGGACATCCACCCTCCTCTCCCGCCTCCCACCCCAGGGTGCCCTTTGAAGCTGGGAGGGGGCTTTGAGCCAGAGTCTCCATGGCCAGATGCACTGGGAGAGGTGGTGAAGTTGATCATCCCTCAGGCCTCGCCCTCCCCACCCCCACCCTTTGGACCCCCTTCTTGGCCCGGAGACTGTTTCCGGCAGTTGCAGGGGCCACCCGACACCCCCCAGTCTCCTGCCTTGCAGCTGTTCCCCAGCTGCCCTGCCCCACCCCAAAGACAGCTGGGAGCAAGGCCGAGGGAGGGGGCAGGAGCGGCCCAGCTGCTCAGCTCCGGGCTGGGTGGGGGAGGACGGCGACATGAAAGAGCTGGGGCCGGCAGGGGATGGGGTGGCAAAGGAAACCACCCAGCCCCCTCCCGCGCGGTGGCCTCCCTGCGGGCTCAGCACATCTGGGCCACAGGAGCCGCCCCGGTCTGTGGGGTGGGGAGACGCGGTTGGATCCCCAGCCTTTCCCGGAAAGGGGAGGCGTGATGGCCTCTGGGGGAAGGCAGGAGGGGAGGGCCGGGTACTGGGGCACCTGTGGCTGCAGCCAGCCCTCCAAGGGGCCACCAGTTCAGGGCAGAGAAGGCCCCTCCGATGCCTTCTGAATGGGCCTGTTTCCTGGGGCAGCTTCAGCTCTTTCTGGGCCTCCTCTTGCCCCTGACCCCTTTTGGAAGCTAGGTGACAGCTGCTCCTACAAAACCAGGGCCAGCTGGGTGGCTGGGGACAGCTGGGTGGGTTAGCGTCTCCCTGCTTCCCTGGCTGCCTAGGGACACCCCAAGCCAACTCTGGGCAGCTGCTGCTTCACCTATAGATGTGTGCCTGAGCATGTCATTCTCGGGTGGGCTTCAAAGCTGGGACATGGGGGGCTCGAGCCCATCCCACTCCCATCAGAATGTCCCCTCCAGATCTCAGTGGATTAATGTACCTGGAGAAAGGGTCTCTCCCCTCAGCTGAAACAAAACTAGGCCAAGTGGGAAAGAAATTGAGCAGCTTTCTGTCTTAGCTCCCAACTCTTGGCATGGGGATGTCCCAGGGCTCCTGAGAACTAGAGAAAGGGACAGTAAGACAGAAGCAGATGTCAGTGGAGTGAAGTGACTGTCCACTGGCACCTGCCCCCAGGCATCACCCTTCAGCCCCAAACAGGTACAGCGGGAGGGAAACAGTGAAGCAGAGGTCCAGCACCCCACCCAAGTCATCCTCTACTTCCACAGGGCAGGAAGGCGGAAGCAGTTAGCAAGACCAAGACTGTGGTTTGGTCTGGCCAGCCCCAAAGTCTTTATTTTGCTTTCTTTCCTTTTTTTTTTTTTTCTGTTGCCCAGGCTGGAGTGCAGTGGCACAATCTCAGCTCATTGCAACCTCTACCTCCCAGCCCCAATCAAGCAATCCTCCCACTTTAGCCTCCGGAGTAGCTAGGACCACAGGCATGCAGCACCACACCTGGCTAATTTTCGTGTCTTCAGTAGAGATGAGGTTTTGCCATGTTGCCCAGGCTGGTTTCGAACTCCTGGACTCAAGTGATCCATCCACCTTAGCCTCTCAAAGTGCCGGGATTACAGGTGTGAGCCAATGTGCTCAGCAAGCCTTTATTTTTCTGAGGGGAGGGGTGGCTAGGGGTCAGTGAGGCTTGGACCACTGGCATAGGACTTTTTTTTTTTTTAGATGGAGTCTGGCTCTGTTGCCCAGGCTGGAGTGTAGTGGCACCATCTCAGCTCACTGCAACCGCCACTTCCCTGGTTCAAGTGATTTCCCTGCCTCAGCCTCCCCAGTAGATGGTACTACAGGCGCCCACCAAATTTTTGTATTTTTAGTAGGGATGAAATTTCACTATGTTGACCAGGCTGGTCTTGAACTCCCGACCTCAGGTGATCCGCCTGCCTTGGTCTCCCAAAGTGCTGGGATTACAGGCTTGAGCCACTGCGCCTGGCCGGCGTGAGACTTTATAAGGCTCTCTGCCTTGTCCCTGGGCTTCCTGAAGTGGGGTGGCATTTAGGCCCTGATTCTGCCCAGACAAGATTAAAAACAGCTAGGCACCCAGCAGAGTATGGAAGGAGGGCACGGGCTGTGGATGTACAGCTCCGCGCAGAACATCAGGCAACAACCGGAGCCCTTTTGAAGATGAGGCTCCTCTCCAGAGAAGGGCCTTGGGGTGTCCCAGCTTCCTCTCCCCCCAGTGGTGTCTGTGACAAGCAGCAGGGAGGACCCTGGCCAACCCCTCACGGCAGCACTTCTCCAGCCCCAGGATGTATCAGAATTGCCAAGAGTTAAACATGCAAATTCCTGGGCTCTCAGAGATTCCCAGAGTCTAAGCTGGGCCTCAGGAATCAGCGCCCCTACTATTTTCTTTTTGAGACAGGATCTCACTCTGTCGCTTTGTAACACAGGCTGGAGTGCAGTAACTTGATCTAGGCTCACTGTAACCTCTGCCTCCGAGGCTCAATCCTCCCACCTCAGCCTCCCAAGTAGCTGAGACCACAGGTGTGGTGTGCACCATCATGCCCGACTAATTTTTGTATTTTTTGTAGAAATAGGGCTTCAACATGTTGCCCAGGCTGGTCTCGAACCCCTGAGCTCAAGCAATTTGCCTGCCTTCGTTTCCCAAAGTATCAGGATTACAGACTTGAGCCACAGCAAGAAATTAGCCCTTTTAATGAGCTCCCAAGATGTGCTTGAGACTGAGAAGCTCTGCCACAGTGGATGGGGGCAGGATGTCTTTTTCATCTTGCCACCCCACCTCCACCCCTCCCAAGGCCAAAGCCTCAAGTCCAAAGGAAGTATGGACCTGAGTGGTCCCCTCTCCCTATGGGGGCCAAGGCCCAGCTCGAGCCCATTCCAAGAGGACGGGGTTTGTTCTGTCTCTATGCCCACGGCCTTGCACTACTGCCTGGCAGGTACTGTGCTCTCAAATATTTGTGGCCTGAAGGAGGTAAACTTTGCAAAACTCATAGAAAGGTGTTTCTCCTTTGTCTGTCTCAGCTAAGAGCACACTGGCAGAACCTCAAAGAGATGCCAGGGCCCGGGTGGCATGGGGCTGGGCCTAGAAGGCCCAGGGCAAATATTTGTCAAATGAACCCAAGGCCAACAGCAGACAGTCAGTGCCTGAGGATCTGACATTCACCGGCCTGGTACCAGCTGGACCCAGGAGGGCAAAACCAAGGCAATGAGAGCAGGGCCCCTCCTCACACCGATGCCTGAAGATCCCAGGCCTGCAGGAGTCGGGGGAATAGGCGAGGCAGGGAGTGGGACTGCGCCATCATGTTTATTAGAAGGTTGGATTTCAGTGTGTGCTCTAGACAGATTACAGAATAAATACCTGTGCCTTGAGCACAGGAAGTCCACGATTCATACAAAGTGCTCACTACAGGAAGTTGCTGTGTCAAAATCCAGGCAAGGACCCAACTCCGGGCAGCCCCTCCTCCCTGCTGACCTCAACAAGGGCTGTGCTATTGTTTTTTATTTTATTATTTTTTATTTCTCTTTATTATTATTAATATTATTATTATTTGCTTTTGCTGTGGTCACTATCATTGGCAAAGTTCCTTTCCCCTTTCCTGGACATAGGGTTCCTGTCTTTAAAAGATTCCACTCTGAGGCTGAAGGTGCCAAAAGCTGCTTGAGAAGTGGCCTTTGAACTCCGTCTGGGACGATGGTGAGGAGAAAGAAGCAGGAGAAATAATTCTTGGTTTAACAAAATTAAAAAAACAAAAACAAAAACAAAAGTCCCACAATCTAAAGGTCATTCCTTACTCGATCAGTGATCAAATTGCCCAAAAGAAAAACATGAGAAACAAGCCGGAGGCCCTGGGCATTCCTGCTGGGCGGGTAAGAAGGGTGGGACCCCTGAGCTTTCAGGGAACTGAGGCTCCTTCCAGCCACGGGGGTGTGAAGAGGAAGGAGTAGAGGAAAAAAGGAGAGACCGAGAGAGAGCTCAGCGCCTCCACACAGACACTTTCCCATCTCCAGGGCCACCTGCGGTCCCGGCCCAGGCCAGCTACCTCTGTCACCTCTGCGTCCAGGAGATTCGTAATAAAAAAAAATCAAAAACAAAGCCAAAAAAACAAAATCCAAAAGGAAAAGACCTAGGGCATGGAATGAGGAAGAGGGGAGGAGAGGAAGGTAGAAGGGCAGGTCTCTGGATGCATAACTCCCGAGCCCGGGGGCCAGGGTGGGAGGGGGAAGGTTCCCAAGCGCCCCGCCGCCTGCGTGGCGTTAGCTCGTCACGTAGTGTTTGGTGGACGGCTGCCCATACACCCTGTAGAAATCCTGGTGGCCGGGCTGCTGGGAGGCGTCGAGCCAGTCTCTGACCGCCAGGCTGGGAAGGGACTGGGGGACGGAGGGTGTGGGCGGGAGCGGGTGTGAGTACTCCTGTGAGGGCACTGTCCAGGGAAAGTGGCCGGAGCGGGGGTAGGGCTGGTGGCCGCCATGGTTAGCCACGGAAGAACAGTAACAGTTGTCCACAGAACAGACGAGAATCTTGCGGCCGCCATACTGGGGGAGCATGGGCTGCTGGGTGGCGGAGCCATTGGGATACTGCGATGGGGGGAACACGGGGCTTGAGTGCACTGGTTGGGCGCCGCCCGGCAGGGCCACCAAGTGCTGCGTGGAGCTGCAGGGCCCCAGGGGCTGCCCAGACTGGCCCTCACCGCTGGCTGTGCCCGCCGCCCCGTACTGGCCGCCCACAGGGCCCGACGACGTCTCTAGGAAACTGGCCTCCGGGAAGGCCGTTGAGTGCTTGCGCTTTTCCGCCCCAGAGCTGCTGACGCCGCAAGGGTACAGGGGGACGCTCTGCAGGAAGGGCACTGGCGTGCTGAAGGGGCCTGTGGAGAATTGGGGTAAAAGTCGCCAAAGCTCCCACCCCAAGCAACCCAGGTCTCCTCTCCCCTGGGTTGGACCTGGGGACCTTTGACTCCTAGAGGCCCAAGCATGTCACATCTCAGGTGATGCTTGCTCCTCTACCATTAGGAGGGAGAAAATAGTTATACGCCCACTTTAAGCTGAAGAAACACAGATTTTGAGCGGTCATGTGGCTTACCCACAGTCCCACAGCTACAAGTGGCAAAGCTAGGATGTGAGGACAGGTCTCCCGGACTGGGTCACACTGCCTCTCGTGGGTGGGGGGTGGGAAGGCTCTGGCGCTGAACCCCTGCCCAAAGGGCCCTCTCTCCCTTTGGTGGAACACCCCACCCTCACCTTCTAGCATCTTCCGCAGCTGCTTCTCCTTCTTGGCCACCTCGTTCAGGAAGAGCTTGGAGTTCAGGTGGCCGATCTTAGGGGGGGAAAGGCTGCTGCCTGTGCAGGTCTGGGTCCTGGGGGCAGTGGACGGGGCCTCTGCTGTGAGGAGGCATCACCGGTGAGCCCGCCCTACCTCCCCGCCATGGGCCTGGCCCCTCTGTCCTCCCCAGGATGTGCCTCGGGGAGGGCTGGGGCTGTCAGCTCACCTGTCCATCAGGATTTTCACAGACTTGGTGTTCTATTGGGGAAAGAAAAGAGTCAGTCAGTGGAAAAGGCAGCTCGGGGAGAGGGGAAGACAGAAGCTGCGCCCCCCAACCTTCCCCAAGCTGGGTGGATCTTCTGATTCTGGACAGAAGGTGGAGAGGTGGGGGTCACCATTTGTGGAAGAAGAGCTAACATTTACTGAGCTCTTGCCACGTGACCCAGGCGTTGTTGGTGTTTTCTGTGTGTTCATAACTTCACCCACACAGCTGCCAAGGAGATGGGTGCTGCAGCCCACCACACTGTTTTAGCTCAAGTTTTTGGGGCCAGATGTATTTTAGAATTTGGAATTTTTTGGATTTTAGAAGGAGAATATAGTGCCTGTATCATATATTACATACCATCCCCAGCAAGACACCACAGTCCAATCCATCAACATTTCTGCAGCAAAATGTTTGAATTTTCATACCACATGAGATAAAAACCATCAACTGCCTAACATCAGTTCAGGTCCATTTTCGCTGTTAAATTAGATGACAGATTTGTTTCTGTCAGTTTTCAGAGATGTTTTTTAAATATGGAATTGTGGATAAAGAAGAGTAGACCTGTATTGTCAATACCACTTTGTAGGTGAGTAAGCAAGGCCCGAGTGTACCTATGACTTGCCCAAGGTCACAGAGCTAGAAAGAACAGGCAGGTGGATTTGAACCCATGTAGTCTGGCCCCACAGGGAAGGGCATGTGAGCTACCGGTGGGGGAAACTGCAGACCCCAATTTGGGAACAGCCCTCTGGGTGCCGCCAGCCTGGTCCTGGGCCCAGCCCACCTTCATGAAGCTGACATCCTCTGTCTTATCGAACAGCAGCTGCAGGGAGCCCAGCAGCTTCTTGGCCTCCTGCATGCGCTCCCCGAGGTGCAGCGCCTGCGCTGCGTTCTCGCTGCAGAACTTGGCCTGGGCCTTGTCCAGGACCTCCACTGTCTGCCGCAGGTCCTCATCTAGCAGCTGGTGCAGCTTCTCGTACTGCAGCCGAACTTCTTCCTTCAGTTGGTTCACTTTCTCCTGTGAGTACAGGAACAGGAGTGGCCGGGAAGGTGAGCCCTGGAGACCTTTGGTGGCCCCCCTCACCCATCTCACATCCTAGAATCTCCCAAGTAGCCAGGCTGCCCCAGGCTCCCAGGGGCAAGGTCTGACTTGCCAGTCCCCACTGCTAGCACAGGGCTCTGGGCCAGCATCTCCTGGTACCAGTGAGCATCCAGAACAGTTCACTGAATGACTGACAGAGGGGTCTGGCACAGAGCCACACAGTCAAACCTTAGTAAGGAACTCACCCAAAGCCCTGCATCCAAGCCACCCCCCACCCACCCTGTAGCATGGCCTTGGGCTTAGCTACCTCCACCAGGCGCTTGTCTGACTCGAGTTTGTACAGCTGGTCCTCAATGTCCTGCTCTCGCTCCTCCAGCCGGTCCTGCTGCTTCATGAGCATCTTCTGCAGGGACAGTTGGGTGGGGGTATCAGAGGGGCTGTGGCCCCAATCCTGACCTATGCTTCCCTCTACACCACACACCCATCCTATGGATCCTTTGACCTGGATGTCACCAAGCCTCTGCCACCCAGCCCCTCTGGCCCCCTGCAATCACAGAGGCCTGTTCCCAGCTCTCCCCAGAATAGCTTCCAATGTATATATATTTATTTACACTATTTTTTTAGATGGAGTCTCACTCTGTTGCCCAGGCTGGCGTGATCTCAGCTCACTGCAACCTCCACCTCCCCGGTTTAAGGCAGGATTCTCCTGCCACAGCCTCCCAAGTAGCTGGGATTACAGACATGTGCCACCATGCCCAACTCATTTTTTTGTATACTTAGTAGAGATGGGGTTTCACTATGTTGGCCAGGCTTGTCTCAAACTCCTGACCTAAAATGATCTGCCTGCCTCGGCCTCCCAAAGTGCCGGGATTATAGGTGTGAGCCACCATGCCTAGCCCCCATGCATATTTAAATGCTGAGCTTTCTGAGAGCAGGGTTAGACCAACTTCTGTTCTAAGTACTTTTCCTGTACAGATTTATCTAATCATACCAGTAATGATATGAGGTAAGTACTATCATTATTCTCATTTCACAGAAAAGATAACTGAAGCCTAGAAAGGTTAAGTCATTTGTCCATAGTCGCACAGCTTGTAAACAGCAGAGCTGGGGCACAAACCCAGGTGATCTGGCAGCAGGGTCTATTCTGACCCAGGCCCTGCTGCCTCTGAGTCCTGGAGCACATCGTCTGAGAGATGAGTACCCTGCTAACGCCCTTTTCGGCCTTAGCCCACCTGCACTCAGGTGAATTTAAAAAAAAAAAAAGAGAGAGATGAGTATCCTAAGATGCAGGGGGTCAAATTCCCTTCCAAAGCTGCACTAGCCTCTGGCCCGGTCCAAAGATCTCACCTTATACTTGCCTTACATTAGGGGGCATCAAGCCAGCCACCCGCTCCCTTGTTCTAAAAACCGAGCGCTAGGACTCTGGAGTCCTGGTCAGCTCCCTTAGCCCCTCAGTGGGACCCAGGCAGAAAGGAGATTTGGGCTCTCCTAAGACCCGAGGCCAGGCTGCTGGAAGGTGCTGGACCAAGCTGCTCTTCTCAGCTCATAATCTCCTGTCCCTACAACACCTCGCCTCCCAGCCACCCCCCTCTCCTGCGCTCCTCTCACCAGGTATGCCTCTTCAGACAGGCTTTCTCCCATGCTCAGAATCTCTCAATGACTCCCTCCTGTCAACTACTTTAGCACGGCAATGAAGGGTCTTTTGCGCCCTGACTCTTCCAGCTAGCTGGGTTGGTATCCTGTCCCCAACTCTGCACATGGAAACTGCCTGCAGCTCTAGGTACGTTCTTCTGCAGCCCACAGTGCCCCCTCCCTCCCCTTGTCTATCCTTCAAGGCCCAACTTAAGTCCCCACTCCTCTAGGAAACTTTCCATGACTGCTGCTCTGAGGCTATACAGGTCCCTCCCTGTCCTGGCTGTCCCATTCTGCCCTCCCTCTCAGGCTATGCTATCCAATATGGTAGCCACTGGTCATATGTGGCGATTTAAATCCAAGTTAACGAAAAATCAAAAATAAGGCCAGGCGCGTTGGCTCATGCCTGTAATACCAGCACTTTGGGAGGCCGAAGTGGGTGGATCACATGAGGTCGGGTGTTTGAGACCAGCCTGAGCAACATGGAGAAACCCCATCTCTACTGAAAATACAAAATTAGCCAGGCATGGCAGTGCACGCCTGTAATCCCAGCTACTCAGGAGGCTGAGGCAGGAGAACTGCTTGAACCCTGGAGGTGGAGGTTGCGGTGAGCCAAGATCACACCATTTCACTCCAGCCTGGGTGACAGAGTGAGACTCCATCTCAAGAAATAACTAAATAAAATAAGTTAAATATCAGTTCCTCATGCACCAGCTTCATTTCAAGTGCCCAGTACCTACATATCACTGGTCTCAGATACTAAAGCTACAAAATGTTCCCATCATCGCAGAAATTCTATTAGACAGCATTATTCTGGAGTCTTCCAATTGTCTCACAAACCATGGTCTCATCTCCCCATAAGACTCAAGGCCTCTTAAGAACGGGGATTTGCTGCATCTTTCTCCACCTCTCTTCAGAGCCAGGCCACACAAAGGCCTGAGCGGCCTGAGATGCATAACAAATTCACTCAATAAGCTGCGGGTTCCACACACACAATAAAATTCACAAAGTAGCTCTGTGTAACCACAGACAGTCCCAGTAAGTGTCCATGTAGCAAGGAGCGGTTCTCATTCTTCCTCTGTGGGGGCCTCAGAGTAACCCTCCAGTTCAACTCCATGACCCCCACCCTGCCACACCCAGCTCCCCCTCACAACAAGACAAGCTACTGTCAATCCCTTCCTCATCCGCCAGCCCATTTTATATATGGGCAAACCAAGGATCACCAGAGACTTCGGCCAGACCCCACTTTGTGTTGGAGGCTACTCTGGAAATAACCAAGACCCTGGGAGCAGGAGGAGGTGTGGGGGTAAGGCTTTCATCTTCTGAGCTGGGGTGCCAGGGGCCCACACACAACTTAGCCTCTCAGTGACCCAGGACAGGCCCTCTAAGAACCAGAACCAGAGACCTTGCTCTACCCCCGGCAGCACCAAGAGGCCCAGGAATCTGCTGCCAGCCCGAGGGTCAGAGCCCGACAGCACACACAGCATGCACAGGCAGGTGCAGGGCTGCCTGGCACACGGCTGCACACGCACGTGGGAACATCTTGCTACCTGAGCCCTAAGCCCACCTCAGGCATGCTGGTAAGTACAGCCACAGTTGCAAACGCACTTGACCCAACCCCCTCACAGGGAAGGCTGGACCCCTGGAGGCACCAGACAATTGTGAGAGGCCTGGTGAGGTGGCCAGGATACCCTGGGAACATCAGGCCGCTGACCTCCCCTGGAACACTTGTCCCATCAAATTCTTGCCAATGGCTGCCCCATGCCCACCCTCAGGAGGACAAGGAGGCCCCCCAAGTGCTCCTCAGAGTCCAGGCCACTCCCTCCATCCAGGGCCCAGGATATCTGAAAGGCTCTGCTGGCCCCACATATCTTGCACCACGGGCTTCCTCGACCAAACCCACCAGGAGCTGGTTTGGGGCGGACGCAGGGGAGTCCCAGGGAGGGGTAGGAAAGAGACAGCTCCAAAGTCCCAGTGAAGCTTCCCTAAGGACTGGAACGGAGCTGTCCACACCCGCCCCACAGGCTGGTGGGTGCCCCTTTGCCCCATCCCTCCCGAGGCCTCCCAGGAGTGACCCCTCAGGGCACAACAGAGGGAGGGCCCTCCTGTCCAGTCTTAGGTGGTGGTGCTCAGCCCCTTTCCTCTTCTTTTGGGCTTTCCTCGGTCTCCCCCAGCAACATTTCTACCCTGGGAGCCTGCAGGGTCTTCCCCAGGCACTCTGGGTGGGACACCAGCCCAGGCCACACAGAGGTGGGGGGTGTGGGGAGGCCGCAGTCCCTAGCAGGTGGGAGGGTTTCATTTCCCCGCCTGCTGCAGCAGGCTCCTGTCTCTGCTGCAGGGGTTGGGGTGAGGATAGGAAGGGGAAGGAGGCTGGCTGGGGGATGCCAGCGAGGGAGGACTGGGAGGAGACGAACTGGCCTGGCCCACTCTCCCTCTGGGCCAGCTCTTGCTACAGATAGCGCCTGGGAAACTGGAAGGAAGATGAGAAATCCCCACCTGCTGTCCCTTTGCGACCCCACCCCAGTTCACCAACGAAGCAAATCGGGTTGCCAAGACTCTGGAAGACAGGGAGCAGAGGAAGCAAAGCCCAGACCCCACCACCAGCAGCCTCCTTTCCAGCGCAACCCCTATCTACCTCCCCAGGGAATGGCTAAGAGCCAGGGCCCCATTTCCCACTTGGGAAAAACCCATAGTTGAGATTGGACTGGATTTCTCAGCTTAGTTCAGAGCAAGTACTGTACACAAGGGCAGGTGGGGCTAGGAGGACCTTATAAGCGCCCCCGCAAGGTTTGTGGCCTGGACTTCGTATGCTGGAGCACACGGGAGCAGAGCAGGCTGGAACGTGGCCTGGGCTAGAAGCTCTGGAGGCACCAGGCCTCCAGGGAGACGGGGACTAGGTGGGCCTCGGGAGAACCTACGCAGCCCAGCCCTGCCTGTCAGGCCTCAGGCCTTCAGTGGTTTGCCTGGGCCCATGAAGACTCAGGAGGAATGGAGGGAGCCGCCATTCCCACCCTCCACCACCTGGGCCCCCCTCCTCAGCTCTGCTGCCGCTTGCTCTGACTCCCCTCCCAGCCTGGAGTGGGAACCCCAAGCCCCTACATTCCTGCCCCAGGAAAGCCTCATGTCCCTCTGGAGCCTGACTGGCCAGGCCAGCTGGCATTTTCTGATGCCAGACTAGACTGGGCAGACGGGTGAGGTTTGGGGACTCTGGGCTGTATAAAAGTTAATAAATAATAATAATAAAATCCTCAAGTCAACCTTGAAGAGAAACAAGGTCAGGAGGAAACAGGGCCCCAGGGACTGGGACAGAGGCAGTCCCTGGGTTTTCAGACAAGACCAGGGCAGGCTCCAGCAGCCCCTGTGGTGGTGGGAGGGGCAGGGCAGGGAGGGGCAAGAAGAGGAGGCTGGGTAGCTTCTTCCTGCTCAGGACCAGCTCCAGCTCTGGCTCCAACTCCCTCCTCAGAGCCATCTCATCCTAACCCTCCCCTTACTCCTCCACCTGGTCCCTGTCCCCGTCTCTCCCTGGGCCCACAGCACTCTCCCCTCTCCTCAGAGAAGCTAATGCCTACCCTAAACCCCCGTTCCATGCCTCGAGCCTCTGCCATGGGCTACCATGTGAACCCCAGGCTGGGGAGACCACAGGCCACAGAGGGAAGGGGCTCCAGGGCAGGCGCCAGGGCAAGGAGAGAGGCAGCACCTCAGATGCGAGCCAGGCAGACCCCAGAGAGGGCTTCCCAGCTGCAGAGTGGAATTAGCTTTTGCCATGCAGAGAGCAGCGCTCTGGGGCAGCAGAACAAAGAGGCGAGAGAGAAAGCCCCCCTTTGTCTGGTTCTGAATGCCAGGCCAGCCGGGAAGGAAGGCTTTCCCAGAGCCAGGGAGGAGGCCAGCCAGGCCAGCCTGCTCAGCCCAGGGCAGGGGCCCAAGCTGGGCTTGCTCCGCCTCTACAGACCGCCCAGCAGAACAGCACAGGACCCTTTTAGCTCCTACCTCCAATACCCGCCACGGGCTCACCCCAAGGGGAAGCCCGTCTTTCCCTCCTTTCCTCAACACCCCCACGGTGGGGGGAAGTCCCAGGATACCTGACAAACTCATAGCCACCAAGCAAGGATCACCTGGGTGGGTATTCACACAGAGGCACGCTAGTGCTGCCAACAGTCAGGAAGGCACACTCAACTTCAACTAGCAGGCAGGCAGACACGGCTGCACAACTAGGGACCTAAGTGAGGCACCTGCGCCTTCTCAGAGACACCCATGTGAAATGCAAAAACTCAGTCACCTCCGAGATGCACAACCCAGACATGCTGGCTACACATACGCACACACACACTTGCAGACAGACACGGATGCATGGCCACCCAGGGCTGCAGGAGGCAGAGTAATCAATATCGCGGGCATGACAGGGGCCCGGCCGTGTCAGCAGGATCCTGGGGTGGGGGTTGGTGGCTAGGCCTCTTGGGCCTCTGCCTGAGGCTCTCTTTCAGGGGCAAGGGAGGAAGGCCAAGCCAGCGCTCCCTTCCATGAAGACTCAGGGTGGCCACAAATGCGCCTGTGCGCGTGCGCACACACACACACCCCACTTCAGGAGTATGGTCTCCTGTGAGGAGGAGCAGTGAGGTAGGTCTGCACTACTGAAGTCAGGCTACAACCCCAGCCCCAGTCCCAGCCCCAGCAGAGCCGGGCCAGCCCTCACTCTCATTGTGCACTCAAAGACAGACAAATGGAGACGAAACCCAGGATTCTCTCCAGGGTCTCAGGGTGGCCTCTCCAGCCACCAGCAATGTGCACAGGATACCCTTACTCCAAGCAGGAGCAAACCCCACACTGGCCTAAGCAGTGGGATCTCCTCCCCTAGAGAACACCTCTTCTCACCTCTGAACCTCTGAGAGTGCAAGAAACAGGGTCCTAGCAACATGTCCAGCCTTGCTCTGGGATGCCTGGGATGATGCAGAAACACAACTGTAAATGCACAGACTCAGATACACCTGCATAGACATACACGCACCACACGCCTGCATACACACACACCACATATCTGCACAGACACACACGCACCACACACCTGCATACACACACGCACCACACAC